GTTATTTGATGGAGAGGAAGATATGACCATTGCCCTGTACTACAGAGCAGGTTCAGCATACACGGTGTACCTTCCATTACTTCCTCACAGTTTAGAGATGATTTTCTAAAACATTTGGTGGAGAGTTTCAGTCTGATTTCAATGATTCAACTCATTACATCCCATATAAGTCAGCATGTTGTACCTGCTTTAGCTGATCTTTAATGATTCAATGTTAAAACGTGATAACTGTTTATCCTGATAAGTGGTTGGGTAAGTGAATCCAGATAACATAAAGGTTTCAAGGATTTAATCATCTGTTATTCTGCTCAAAATACTTTCTGTGAAATACTGATTTTATGTTTCTTGTGCATAACTTTAATCATGAGATTCTTTGTTTTCTGAACGTGAATCAAGAAATAAACCAGTCTTTACTGAAACCCACTTCTGTGCTTCATTCCCTGACATTTCTTTCAATTTATTGATCTAGTTCCAGTTTGGAAAATGTTTTTTTAATTTATTTAACAATATAAATCTAGTTTCGACACACATGTTCACAGTACTGCTCTGTGGAAAGAGCAGGAAAATCCTTTTGGACAACTGTACAGGCTTACTACCAATTTGCCTTCATGGTTAGCTGAAAGAAAAATACATTCGTTAACAAATATCTTACTAAAATGAACCAGTGATCATGTGTGAATTGGTGTATGACTTTGCACATAAACTTCAGATGAAGTTTGTGCCTGTGCTACCAAATCTCAGCAACATGTTGCTGCAACAATATAGCACCATGTCATGCTAACACAAGTGTGATAGCCTAATATGAAAGACGCGACATCTTCAAATGTAGATTTAATCCAGGTCCCAAATAGCTATGGTGAAAGCTGGAGTGTATGGCACAGTGAGACTGGGCCTGTCACTCTAAAAAGTAATTCAGAGGCTTAGTAAATATCACTATAAATATAAGTTAGATGAGCCTGATAAAATCTATGAATATCCTTTTAGTAATTATTTCAGTTTGATAAGTTGAAATAAATGTCTAAAATGTTAACATATGTGTTTGTGTTAAATTAAGGTATTTATTTACATTTAAAATTCAGCATGTGGTTCACAGAATACCTTCGTTGCATGTACTTAATATTTTTGTTTAAAATTGAATCAAAATATTTGAGAAATAAGTATCTATACTCATCAGTATCTCGTACTAACATCATAAATTATTCAAATCAATATTATTTATTGTCAGCAACTACAACTGAATGACTGAATGTAGTGTAAAGCGCTTTGGGGTCCAGCGCTACACAAATACAGGGCATTTAATATTAAGTACAATTTTGATTATGTTCAGTTTCAAATATTAAGGAAATGGAACAAAATTTTGGATTAACTGACCATCGATATTTCAGTTGCATTGACCAAGCATGTCAGTGTCATTTACTCAATTGTTTCATGTTTGTGTAACAACTACAATTATTAATTTCAACTTAATATGTTTAAGCTTTAGTTATTCAATTGATCAAGTACATTGAACAGATGTGACTGGTTTCCAATCTACTCAATATTTTTAAGTGTAAAAGTTTTGCCTCAAAAATTTTAAGTAAATGTCAGTTTTAGTTTTTAGAGTGTGGGTTCATTGTGCTGCTTAATATGATACCAGTACTCTCTAATGTGAATAATAATTACAACGGTATCTTACACAGCATTTGTCCCTGATCTGGTATTTATTTGGAAAAGAAAAACAATTCAATGAAATGAAATAGTTACTTTCATATGGAATTAAATGAATCTAAATAAAATAAACCGCTGTAATAATTACCACATGGTATATAAATAAAGATTTTCAAAATAAAACACTTGGTCTCTTTAACCGCAAATGTTGTTTCCTGTTTTAGAACCTTATACCTTTAAAATGTAATGGACTTCACTTTTGAAATGTCATCAATCATCAATTTAAACTAAATTTCTATCAGTGGGCCCACTCACACACATTCACTTGTCCATTTAACCTGAAGCATAATTTT